TCTCTCTGTTCTACTCCTGCAGCTTAAATATACACCCACCAAAACCAAGTGCCTTGGAGTGTAATGAGAGCTGACAAGGGAGTCTTGGGATACTGTTCGCCTGTGGCCACAAAGACCTAACTAGAGCATGAAAGGACCAAGGAGCACCTGCAGAAGGCAAAATACCAGGCAAGGAAATACTACCTTAGGCAGCAAAATAACTAAAAAATAGATATATGTGTTTATTACTCTTTCTAGTGACAAAATTGACATATGTCCATTACTGGAAAATGTAAAAATCTTCTCTGATCCCAGTCATCTTGAGATAACCCATTTGGAAATATTTTCTTCCAGTCTTTCTTTTCCTGGTGATTTTGAAATGTGGTGTGTGTGTGTGTGTGTGTGTGTGTGTGTGTATGTGTGTGTGTATGTATGGTCACACAATTTTTTTTGGTTAACAAAGTATGCATACATATACTTTATTTTTAACAAACTTGGGATGCTGTATACTCTTTTTTTGCAGTTTATAAATGAAATGTCACTAAATATGCTTTTTAATATTTTGTAATATTCCACCATATGAAGGTATCATATGAGTAAGTTCTAACTTTATAATAACATAAATCACACTGGGAGTGACATTTCATATGTAGGCATGTCCCTGATTTAAATCTGTCTGTAGCTCTAATTATTTCCTAAGGGTCATTGTTCCCACAACCATGCATTGTCATTACTATTTTGCCATAAATACCATCTGTATTAAATTTAACATTTCTCTTTAAATAAACTAATTTCTGTCCTTAAATAAATATATTTTAAAGTACATGCTATTGTAAATGGAAAAACAGCACTTTTTGCCACAAAAAGGCAAAACAAATACAATCTATTAGAATCAAAACACTATGGCTAAAATGGAGTTAAAAATACTGCTACCCCTTTTTGCTCATTCTTTTATTTCAGATGGAAGATTATGCAGGCTTGGAAAGACCTAATTTTAGACACACTGGCACCAAGCTGAGGTTTGTCTCCTTCCCTTGATCAGAAGATTCAGAAGGAACTGAGCAGGAGAATGACCTTCTCTCTGTGCAAGCCAGTGATGGACAGTGTGGCACATGTATCCTGCACAGAATTACCCTGCAGGACCTGGGATAGCTGTGCATGGGAAATGTGTCTTAAGAGATACTCCTGGAAACAGAATTGGCATAAAAGGTAGAGAAAGTTTAAAATACTTTTGACAAACTGAGCTTGAACATTATGCACAGTGTTTACCATAGTTTTACTGTGGGAGTGCCCAATTCACTTCAACCTCATAAATGCTAAGTATTATAAACAAAATATTAAAATAGTTAAAACTTTTAAACTTTTTTTTAGTGTAAGGTAGTCAGTAGCTGAATATTTTAAGGGCTATTTTCATCTTTCTCTAGCCAGTCCCTGATCCTAGGGTAAGGTTATTATATGAACCTTCTGTTAGTGGTCAGTTTACACAAACTGATATTATGCTTGGTTTATGCAAGCGGAACTAAATTTGGTATAACATGAGGAAGTGACTTCAGCATTTGCAAATATTTCAGCATGTCTTTGTGCCAGCAAAGGTCAACTGAGGATCAGAACAGCATGAATTCCAAAGAATGCTTTTGAGAAATAAGAGCCCCAGAGAAGCATTACTCACAAGATATAATTCTCTACAAATTAAATGCTAGGAGAAAGACATTTAAACTTTCCTATACTACTGCAAAATGCAATCATACAAAGAGGTTACAGATGACTAAAATTTCTAAAACAGAAAAGGAAAAGCATATTCTGAAGCATAGAGAATTAATAACAATTGGAAGCTTCCAGATTATTTTTAAAAATTCCTATATGTGTATATGTGTCTGTTGGGAAAAGATGAGGAAGAGGAGAGGTTCTCATGTTTGGAAGGAGGTTATAGATTCTGACTAATTTTTGCTACTTTGATCTTTGTCAGATTCAGGACTTCTAAATCTCTATAGAAAAAGAAGGAAGGTAGAAGAAACAGGAAGGGCAAGACACCTTGACGAATTCAGAGACACAAGGAAGAAGAAAAAGAATTCATGACAATAAATGGCAACACAACATGCCAGAAATAAGACCACAGTTACCAGTGATCAAAATAAAAGCCAAGTCTTTCAACCTAAAGCCCATGAATGGAGGATGGATAAATTAAGGCACTCCATTTTTAAGGTATATATGTGAGGGGGAGCATAGATGACAGAAAGAGGTCCATGACTCCCATAATTTGGAAAGTTGTAGAATAATGTTTGTACAAGATAGGAAAGGGTCCAGAAAAACACAACAACATTCTAAGTGGGGTAGCCTATGGAGAGCAGGTTCACAGGTGGCCGGAGTGGGCTTCTCCATCTCACTTTACAAATGTCTGCACCCTGTGAATCTACTAAGAAACTCATGGGGCCAAAGAAATGTGAATAAATGAATAATGAACACAAGAGAAGACTCAGCCAAATGGGAGATGTAGAGGACAAAAAAGAAAGCTGGTTAACAGAACCCAAAAGTATTTATTTGAAAATGGACAAAGCTCTAGGGAGACTATTAAGGATAACTAACAGACTTTAAAAAAAAAAAAAAAGACTTGAAAAAGGAGGAAATGACAAATATAACAGATGTTTAAAACTTTTAAAATAAGATAAACGACTGTGATGAAACATTTAAAATATAGATGAAATGAATAAATTTCTAGAAAACAAAAGTTGCTAAAATGTGAATGACCATTTAAGAAATTAATATAGTTTAAAAATTTCTTCCCCAGAAAGTCTCAGGCCCAGGTTTTACAAGTGTAACCTACCAACTTCCAAACTATTTCTCTTAAATGAATTTTATCCAGAAATAGAAAAAAGAAGAAACATTGTCTAACTTAAGGTTACTATAAACTGGTGGGAGGAGGAATCACCTCATCATCTTGCCAGATACAGAATGAGCATTTGATGCTAGTTCAATGCTGAACATGTAACACAAAAGGAAAACAAAACTCTCAGAGCTATAGAATTAAAACAAAGCCATGTCTTTCCTACCACCTTCTTTGTTTTATAGCTTGATTAATCATGGGTTTAAGCCACCACACGTAATAAACTTTGTTATTACATTTTTATTAGAAAGTAATGCTTAGGATTTTATTTCTTTTCCTTGGGATTTCAGGTCCTCAGTAAAGAAACTTCCTTTACTTGATAAAGCCTATTTTCTAGGAACCCATAACTAACATCCTACTTCACAAAGAAACTATGTATTCTCTTTAAGAAATGGAACAAGATGAGGATGTCTGTTGTCACCACCACCATGTAACAGAGTTACAGAGACAGCGGCCACTATGAGGAGATAATACAAAAGGAAAACAAATATAAAATTGGGAGGGGCAAAAGTTTTCAGTGTTTGCAACTGATATAATTATTTAATAGGAATCTCAAGAGAATCCACAGAAAAACCGTCAGAATGACTAAGAGTCCAGAAAAGGTCAGACTCTGTGGCACACACCTGTAATCCCTGGGACTTGGGAGGCTAAGGCAAGAGGATCACAAGTTCAAAGCTGGCCTCAGCAACTAGTGAGGCCCTAAGCAACTCAGAGAGCTCCTGTCTCTAAATAAAATACAAAATAGGGCTGGGGAGGTGGCTCAGTGGCTGATTTCCCCTTAGTTCAATCCCTGATACCAAAAAAAAAAAGAAGAGGAAGAAGAAAGAAAGAAAGAAAATCCAGAAAAGTAGCTGGATATAATAACCCACTGAAAACGATTACATTTCTCAGTACTGACCCACTAAAAAAGAGAGAAATATGCATACAAAAATCACAATTGCAATAGTACTGAATCTAACAATTATCTTAATAAAACAAGTAAAAGCTCAGTAGAGAAAATTTTAATATTCCATGAAAATACATAAAGGAAAGCATGAATAAACAAAAAGAAACATGGATGAAATTATTTGTCATTCAAAGATATTAATTCTTCCCAGATCAACCTATGATTTCAATTCAACTCCAGTCAAAATTGCAGGAGAGCTTTTTGTGAAATATCTCAATAGAGTTTCTGGAAGAACAGAAGTAATAAGCTAAGAAAAATGGAAGAATAACAAAAAAGTAAAAGCATATTACAAAGGAATTGTCATAAAAACAAAATCCAATTGGGTTAAAATTTAAATGTGGAAGAAAACAAAGTTAGTAGAAGAAAATACAGAAAAAAACTTTTTATGATCATTAGTCAGGTAAGGATTTATTAATAAGACACAAATAGAAAGAGCTAAATGGGGGCAAATGATAGCATATACAGATTTTTTTTTTTTTTTTTAATAAGCGGATCACAGACTTAAATGTAAGAGTTTAAAGTATAAAGCTCTTGGATTCACAGGCCTAACTTTGAGTTAGGTGAGGATTGGTAAATCATATATATGATAAAAGATATGAAGAACTCTTATAACTTAATAAAAAGACAATTCAGTTTTAAATGTGGATCTAAATAGAAATTTCTGCAAAGAAAACATACAAACTGCTAATAAGTGCATAAAAAGACTCAACATAATTAGCCATCAGGGAAGCACACACACGTACACACACAAAACAAAACAAAAACCATCGTGAGCCACAACTTCACACCTACTGGGATGGCTATAATAAGAAAGACAGCCAATAACCATTGCTAGTGAGAATGTAGAGAAACTAAAGCTCTCATGCCCTCACAGTGGTACAATTGTTCTATGGTGTAGCTGCTCTAGAAGACAATCATCTGGAAGTTTCTCAGACTTTATTTTTATGTTTTAATACATATGGAACACATTGGGCACAGTGGCACATGCCAATAATCCCAGTGACTTGGGAGGCTGAGATAGGAGGATTCCAAGTTTGAGGCCAGTCTCAGCAACTTAGTGAGGCCCTCAGAAACTTAGTGAGACCCTGTCTGAAAATAAAAACTAAAAGGGTTGGGCACATAGTTCAGTGGTAAATTGCCCCTGGGTTAAATCCCAAGTACACCCCCACCAAAAAAAAAAAAACAAAAACATGTACATGTATAGAATACTTCACTCATTTCTGCATCATGCTTATACAGGGACCGCACTAATCTTTTTGGTATTGTTCCAAATTTAGCATCTGTGCTGCTGAAGTGAGTACTTCCTCAGAGTTTAAACAGAGGTGCCATGTGACCCAAGAATTCCACTTCTATGTAAATACCCAAGAGAAATAAAAACAGAGGCTTTCAATAGAAACTGTCAGTAATTCCTCAAAATGATGAACACAAAGAAAAGAGGAGCGGTACCCCATAAATGTTTTCTAGGCCTTACAGAAAACATGGGGTTATTCCTTTGGCCATATACAGGCGAATCTACAAGAAAGGTGATATTATAGACATCAGAGGAATGGATACTGTTCAATAAGGAATGGCCCACAAATGTCACCATAACAAAACTAGAAGAGTACAGTGTTACCCAGCATGCTGTTGGCATTGTTGTAAAAAACAAACAAACAAACAAAACAAGTTAAAGGTGAGATTCTTGCCGTCTAGAGAATTAATGTGCACACTGAGCCTATTAAGCAGCCTACGAGCCATTATAGCTTCTCAAAACTTGGAGAGGAAGTTGAAGAGAAAGGTGCCTGGGTTCAATTGAAGCACCAGCCTGCTCAGCCCAGAGAAGCACAATTCGTGAGAACCCATGGGAAGGAGGCCGAGCTGCTGAACCTGTTCCCTATGAATTCATGGCATAATAGGGTAAAAACAACAGTAACAAAAGATTCCTGGATTGTAAAAGATAAAAGAAAGAAGAAAGTAAATGTCCACAGAATACTTTTTGTGAATATTCATAGCAGCCAAAAAGTAGAGGCAACCCAAATGTTCAATAAGGAATGGCCTTATTGAACGAATGGATGGATAAACAAAATGTAGTATATCCAGATGATGAAATATTATTGAGCAATAGAAAGGAATAAACTAATACATGTTATGATGTAAATGAACCTCAAAACCATACGGCTAAGTGACAGAAGCCAGTCACAATAGCCACACATTGTATAATTATATTTATAGGAAATTACCAGAAATATGTAAATCTATATAGACAGAAAGGACAGTAATAGCTACATAGAGCTGGGGAGGGAGATACTGAGGGACATTGGACAGTGACTGCTAATGGGTACAGAGTTACTTTTTGGAGTAATGAAAATGTTTTAAAGTCAGATGATGGTGATGGTTATATACATCTGTAAATACCACAATAATAACCAGTGAATCACCATAAACTATAAACAGGTGAATTTGTGGTATATAAATTACATCTTAGTAAAACTATTAATAGTAATAATAATAAAAGGGAGACTAAAATGAAGCTAATGGATGACAAGATGAGGAGAAGACTTAACCACCTATGTCTGACAGAGGACTACCATTTTAATACACAAAGATATTAATATACAAAATGCAAACCAGGTAGAAAAACATCAGAAACCTAAAAGTAAAGAAGCACAAATAAGATAAACAGGCAATTCACTAAAGGAAAAAATAATATGAAGAGATGCTCAATTAAAACAAAAAAGGAGAAATGTAACATACCAGATTTTAAAAATGAGTAAATGAGATAATAGTAAATATAGGCAAATATTGGAAAAGGGACTCTTCATGCACTGCTGGTGGGAGGAAATTGCTGAAGCCATTCAGCAGCACAAAGTGGCAAGTTTTAGTAAGGCAACATGCAAGCATCCTAGAAATCAGCTATGTCATATCTGCCTTATTTGTCTGACCATCCACCCATCCACGTTTCCTTCCTTCCAGACATACATACATACATCCCAGAGAATCTCTTATAACAACAAGGAGGAAACAACTAGATTTAAATACAGTGAAATGAATTGACCAAAACGCATAATGCTAAGGGGGAAAAATGCAATTTATAGCACAATGGTGTTTATTCAGGCAAGCATAACAACCAAGCAAAACATAACTCATTTTTCAAAGATCCACATACTTCTAAAGCATGTATAATGAAAGATTTGGGAGGACAAACAGCAAATATGCCCATTTAGTGTGGCTGCCTAAGATGGAGGAGGAGGTGTTGGGAGAGAAATGGAGGATAAAGGAGGAAAATAACAAAATAAAACAAAAGGAAAGAAGGGTTCTAAAGGGTCCAAGGATTATTGTACACTATAAACTGAGGAATGTGGCAATTCAAGTCTCTGGGTCTGAGAGCCTAAGGAAAATAAGTAGAATCCCACACATTATTATTTCCTAACAGAAAATCATAAAAGTAAACTACAGCACATGCTGGTGACTAAATCAATGAATAAGCCAGCTATGGAGAAAAGAAGGTGGGTGGAAAAATGGGTTTGGTCTTCAGCCCAGTCATTCAATCTTTAGGAAGATGGAAGCAAGAACCTGGGGTGGTAAAATGTGGATGCTGTCCAGGACACCACCTGCTCCTCCCACCCTCTCACCCACACAGAAGACAAGAAAGAGAAACAACCATCCATTACACTTTAAATTCAGTTAAAAGGAGGGAGACAGAAGAGAGTACAGGAGACAAGGGATACCTCATTTATAGCAAGCCACAAAACTAGAGACAAAATCTAATTTTCTGGCTCATGGGGCAGAGTGAGGACCCCTTGTTTTTACAAATTAGGACCATGGATCATCTTCTGTTTCAGAAAAGGGTCTTTGATTATGTTCTTTTTTTTTTTTTTGGTACTGGTCACATTATTAGTTAGCTACATCCCCAGCCCCTTTTTGAGACAGGGTCTGGCTTAGTTACTTAGGGCCTAAGTTGCTGAGGCTTGTCTAGAACTTCCAGTCCTCCTGCCTCAGCCTCCTGAGTCCTGGGATTTACAGGTGAGTGCCACTGCATCCAAGGCTGAGCCAGGTGAATTCATTTTTATTGGGACAGAAGTTGAGTGTGTGTGTGTGTGTGTGGGGGGGGTGGTTCTTGGTATTGGCATACAAAAACTGTCATCACTCTAATATGTCAAAAAGCCTAAATATTTATTTTATTTTTAGCACTTAGTGCCTTCTATTCTTGTCCTACAAGACCTGGCCTGTGGGTAACTTGCCAAGGAATGGGGAGCACTCTAAAGGGCAGACTTTGTCTTCACACCCTGGGATGGACCCCAATTCTCAAATGAGTTGTGTGTACCCGGCCAAGGGCAAAGCCCAGGCAGTCCTCATCCGTCACACTTCTGCTGGGCTGCGGTGGGCAGATCTTTCCCTGGTCTGGGGAGGGCTCAGACTCTGGGTGCACTCATCTCTGACCATCTATGCCAGTCCCGGGTTTGGGGCTCCCTGACTTCATATGGGCAGTGGGAATGGGGCCAAATCCTGGCCTGGCTGCTCTCTTGTTTTCTACCTGGGAAACCAAGAAAGGCAGAAATACATGTGAGCTGCAGCTGAATGTGACAGGTAGCGGGGTAGATGGGATGCTCTTTGCTGAGTTCAGGTGAAGCACTCTGTTAGGTACTTTATATGCGCCCTCCCACTTTAATGTCTACGAAACCCCGGAAAGGTCTGTGTGCTACCAAAGGAAATGTGTGCTCAGGGGGTCTGACTTGCCACTGTCCCACCTTGACCCCAGACTGCCAGATCCTCGTCTGAGGCCTCCCAGGTCTTCAGCACCGCCCGGAGACTCTAGGCCACGAAGCCCCCAGCAGTGCCGCGCCTCCGACCCTCCCGGACCCACCCCGGGAGTCCCCATCCCGGCCCTCGACCAACCGCCGCCTGGCGCCGGGCCCGCCGGGTCCGCAAGGAGGAGCCCGTGAGGCGGCCGCGAAGGGGCTGTGCTTACCTTGCCCGGCGCGGGCAGCGGGACCCGGGTTCCAGGCCGACCGCCGCCGCCGTGCTCTGCGCCCCTCGCCGGGAACGGCCTCTGCGCCAGCCTGGCCTCGGCAGCTTAATTTTCCCCAACGACATCAGCGGGAAAGCGAAAGCGAAAACCTCGGGGAGGCGGGACCCGGGGTCGAGCGCGCAGAGCTCCCGGCCCGCGGCGGGCGGGGGCCAGCGGCAGAGGCGGGGGTCGGGGGCGGGGGAGCCGGGCCCGGGGCTGCGCGCGGCCGGGGAGCCGGGCCCACCGAGTGCGCGCTCTGCAGCTGGTCTGCCCCCGCGCCTCGCCGCCGGCAGAGGCAGGGCGGGAGGGTGTCCCCTCTGCCCTCTGTGCAGTGCCTACTTGGGCCTGAGGGCTGGTGGCGGGCCAGGTGATTGAGGGCGACCCTCGGGGCTCTGTCCTGAAGAGGCTTGTGGTGGAACCGTTAGAGGAGACCCGACCAAGGCACTCCATCCTGGATCAGCAGAGAACTAAAAAGCTAGTGATGTTAGTGTAATAGGGGACATGTCATCTGATAAGAAAAACTGGCACAGAAAGCCTAAGTTTTGTCCCTGGTATAAGTGGTGCTCACCGATACCCTACGGATCAAGCCCTGGCCTTATATTGTTGGCTGATTTGGAGCAAAACTGTCTGTTTTTAGCTGTCTGTTTCTTTTCCCTGGAAAATGGGGATAATTAATAATCATACCTACCTCGTTGATTTTAGGAAGGAAATGAAACAATATAAGGACAAAAAACCCTTGGTACAGAATTTCCGGTCAGCCTCTAGGTGGGTCTCTTGAGGGCAGCCACGAAGTCCTTTGTCTGGATGCTTGATGATACACATTCTCTGTCAGTTTAAATTGGAGGTGTCTCCATAATAACAGGATAGTTTTAAGTTTGGAAATGAGACTGAGAAGTAATTAGAAGGACAGAGGAGGCACTACAGTCTTTTGAAAGGTACCTTAAACTTAGCCTGTCAATTAGCCTCTATAATTAGGCCACTGCATCAGGTGTTTATGGCAGCAGAGCACTGCCAGTTGAGTTTGAATGGAATCCCCTACAAGATTCAGCTCTGTCTATCACAGGCCACTGAAATCTGAAAATATTTCTACAAGCATTTCTACCTACTAGCTTTTGCAATACACTGACAAGATTCCATATCCAAATATAATTAGGTGTGTGTGTATGTGTGCGTGTGTGTATGAGAGAGAGAGAGCATACACAAATACTTTTTTTTTTTTTGGTCGCAGTACAAAGATAAAGATAAAGCAATCTGAAAACTGGAGCAGAAAAACAAACTGTTTAATCTGCATAGAGTCGATTTGATTTTCACATT